CGTGAAACCACGAGTGTGCACGAACGTCGTCGAGATGGCCATAGCCCAAACGTAAGCCTGGGTCCTCTTTACACAGTGCCAGTATCAAATCCCTTGCTTCCTTGGAGAAACATCTGAAAGATTGGATTGATTCACTGGTAGACGCATAGTGATTGGGTATTCAAACCCATGAAGTAGAGGAGAAGGCTTACCTGGGCCAAGCCCACTTGCTGAATCCTCTCAGTATCGCGTTATAGACGACCAATGGATCCGAATTTGAGAATGGTGGCCTGAAAGATCACTTCAGTTGGAGTGGATAATACTTTATTGTCACGCATAGTTACCAGTTAATACTTACTTTCCAGACAGCAGTTCATACAAGAAGATGCCCAACGCCCAAAGATCCACAGAAGTGTCGTGGCCCTTGTTCAGGACGATTTCTGGTGGCACTGAAACGAAACCAGAACTTGGCGAAAAATCGCTAAATTATGCAAAATCAAAGCTAATGCTAAAACAATATATTATACATTGAAGTCCAAACTATAAATAAGCCAATAATGGCACAATCGCAAGATAAGGGGGCATCCTTTGGGACTTCGTCTAGAAGGGCAGGGACTTTGGGGAAAATGGAATTGCCCACGTACCCTGGAGTTTCTCTTCCCCCGCCCAAAGTGTTGTCCCGTTTCTAATAGAAAGAAGATGTTCTATGCGATTCCAAATGGACTGCTTCCACGATGCCCCGGTATCTTGCGATAGCGTCCCATCGATAAACTATTCCTTTTCAGGGTACAAATCATAAGCTTTCAGGTGCAGTGAAAACATATAGTAAAATTCTACATCAAACCGAGTGAAATTAGGCGCTTACCATATTCAGCAGTACCACAAAACGTCCACGTTTGACCTTTTTCGCCTAAACGTTTCGCGAATCCAAAATCGACCTGCAAAAGTCACAGATCAGCTACTTCAAGAAACTTCCTCTGAATTCCGAAAAATCTCACCAATTTGGGATATCCGTTCCTGTCGAGGAGCATATTTTCCGGTTTCAAGTCTCGGAAGACAATATTTTCATCGTGTAGGTACTGGAGCGCCTCGATCGCCGCTGCACAGTAAAACCGCGCCGCGTCGTTATCAAATCGACTCCTGCAAGCGTTTTTTTAAATGCAGTGAACCGATGGTTGGAAGAGGGGTCGGTTTTTGTAACGTCATTGAGCGTCATTGGCGGAAGAGCTGGCCCGCCCACGCCACCAATGACGGCCGATGACGTCATCAAAATCGCTCCACCCTCCAGCCGTCGTGTCCACTGCCTTTAAGGCAATGTCCATTCGCACTTTCAAATGCGTGTACATCGTTGAAAGCATGGCTTATATCATTGCCCACTGATTAGGAGGTGAAGATGTCGATAACAAACCTCCTTTTCAAAGCAGTCCACACTTCACCTCCAAGGCATGGCTCCATGAGCGGTTACAAAGCAAATGTCAACCCACTTATCATAAATATTGATTTCCTTACTTTACTATGAACGGGCATTCGCTCGACAGCATGATGTCCTTTTCCGAGACCACGTGCTTCTCCTGCTTCATATCGATAATGTGTCTCTTGTTTATCACCTGAAAGCGAACACCTCAAAAACCGGTCTCGTTCGCGGTTCAGACAGAGCTCATAAGTGTGCCACTATGTCAAAAACGGCCGCTGTGCTGATCTGTCGGCAGTCGGCAAAAGGATTTTCATCCCTCAAGCACTCACCTTCAGTGCAAACACTTTCCCATTCGCTTTCACCAGTTCGACACGACCAAAACCGCCGACTCCCAGCGTCGTGACGCGCTGCAGCGCCGAGAACGGTACGTCGTTCGCCGTACTGAAACGACTGAATAATTGGTTTGTTTGTTTGTTGTGGGCTTTGGTAAATACGCTCTCAAATCCTCACAATATTTTTCGAATTTAAAGACAGGGTACACGATGGTTTAAAGGCGGTCTGGTCATGGTGACGTCTTCGGGTTGTTAATGGATAGCTTTGGGAAATGATTTCAACACAGCGCCGCCCTTCCACCGCTGTCGACAATGACGTCATCAAAACGGCCCCACCCCCCATCGTTCGTGTTCACTTTAAGGTTTTAAAACGGCAATTCTCGGATTTGTATTCCTTGTTTAAAGTGATCAGCACAGGATCGTCCGTGGGAAATCACTAGCCATTTTCTATTGGAAACCGGATCCTTTCCCAACAAGGAGCTTTGTTTCCCACCCTCAGGACTCGGCCAAGCAAGCAGAGGCTGACACCTGTCAATAGACCTCAATCGCTACCGTAGTTGGGCAAACTGGCCGCGGTCACACGGCCCACCTGTGATTGGTCAAAAATGGCCCAGCTATGATTGGTCAAAAATTCACCGATATCGATCGGGCGTAGCAGCCACATATAGCTGAACTCAAAACCCACTCCTGTCGCAGTACCTCAAGACAGTGGATGGCGTCTAACAAGCATTTTTAGCCCTAGAGGTAGATGTATCAGGGCCACTCAAAAGCCGCAGGGCTTGTAAATTGACGAAATCCGCTCCATGCTGATTGTTTATCTGATTAAGATAAGGTTATTTCTCCGAATCTATTGGACAGCGGCCTGAAGGTCTTTCAAACCTATTGGGAGATTATATAGAACTTTTTTGCGCACGCTCTGGTCGACGACAGTTCCCAGGTAACCCTTCGAAAGACATCGACCGGAATACATACTAGTATTGCAGTATTCCCGTTCTGTTTATGGGCCTGGTAGGGAACGTTCCAAAAATAGCGCCCTGCATGACAACCCCTCCAGACAACGATCCATTTTGTTGTCAGCGTTGTTTTCTTACATTACCTCAACTGTCGCCCACTACAGATGCTCTGCTTTCGTCATTTGCTGATCACCGGCCGCGACAAACACAAGAATCCAGTTACGGAGACAACACTCGTGCTCGTTATTGCGTCAAATCAACTATCACACGGTGAACAAGTTACGACTACGCCCATATAGGGACCACAGGTTTGGCACGGGGATCTGAATGTGATTTTGCAGGGTCACGAAACTTTTAGGTAGCCCCGTGACCAAAGGCGGTAGAGGCGGTACCCCTTATCACCTCACAAGACTGAATTTATACGGGAGTTGTTCCGCCAGAAAGATCAAGCCCAAACGGGGCTAATCAGTGGACAACTTTACCGTAATCTACTCGACCTCTGCTTACTTTCTCCCCGAGAAAGGTGGCCAGCGCTTGCGGTCTCGTGAGAAATGGCAGCGTGACACTTATCACTGACGTTAACATTCCGCACGACCACAGCGTAATCTCGCCAACCCAAATGGCGCGACCGCAAAACTTTTTGCGCTCAGTGAACTGTGACGCCAACGGCGCTTTTTGAACCTTTCTTTGTGTCCCGTCCTGGTGCTCTGCTGACGTAATAAAGGGTTCCGGAATGGGTACGAAACACAGGAACAATGACGTGACGGCACTACTAGACGAAGGCTGCGTTAAAACCCATGACGACCTTCACCTATCAGAACTTAAAGGTACAGGTAGCACTGTCATGAGGGCTGCAATAGACCCGTTCCCAATTAGCACCCCATGATTTGCGGCACATCGTCCACAGGACAAAGTCCAGTATGAAAAAGACAACAAAAAATGATTAATCGATTTGGGAGCTGAACCACTCCCAACCGTGGCTAATTACCCAGCCTGGGATGATTACCCACAACTCAACTCGTGGCAAACAATTTTCTCAAGCATTTTTCTAGCCGTGTTTACAATCAAGGGTAAACAAAACATGGGTAGCGGATTAGCTTGCGGGGCGAAATACTGCAATAGTTCTTTCGGATCCTTGGAAAACTCTCAATAAAATGAACACGAGAGGAGTTGAGGTACCCCTTCCATCCTTTTCACCCCCCCCCCTTCATACAATTGCAAAGATGAACATCCACGCATAGTAAAAGCAACGATTCTCCAGGAAAAGCGCCAAATCTGTCAACAACACTGATCACACATCACTTCCACCCGCGGACCTATCATTTTGACGGCCGAAGAAGCACAAAGCACATGACAGCCTTGTGGGGACAATTATACGAACGCAGCCCCGTGTAATAAACCCTTAGTCGTTACACCACTTATCAAGCAGCATTCGCCTCCGTCTCCCTCACCTCAATCCTCCCCCCCCCGCCTGGCTCTGCACTGCGCACGATTAGCACGAGCCATTCACGTGTTCGCCACATGCCGCCCCACCCGCGTTGACAAATAGTGAGCACAAAGAACGACCACTCCACTGCTTGTGTACCCGGCATGGGTAAGTTTGCAAGGTCACAGCGCCGTGCTGCTTCCAGACTGCACGTACACGCAGAAGAATGCGGAACAGCGCTCTGTTGTGAACGTACCACAGACACCACATTGGGGACGATATCACACGCATTAAAGGCAGGTAATACTGCTGGACATGTCCACAACGCGGTTATCAGTGATAATCACACTACCGTAGAACATCATAGTTGGTCTCCTCACTGGCTACTTGTGTTAGGCGGTGAAAGGTCGCTGTTTTTAGACCGTATCGGCTAGGTCCCCTATAGTCCAACGGGTTACTGTAACCGGAAGCCGGCTCGTTACAGTAACCACGCGAAACTGGGCGAACCAGGAACTAATTAAAAGGAATAATCGCGTAATTTCAATACTTTGACACCATCAGACGTATGGAATTCTAAGGCCTATAAGAACATTCGAGTACGGTAGGAAGGTCAGAAAGGCATATCACGTCCAATAAAACCCATAAAAAACGACAAAAAGAGCTTCGATGGAGCGCTCACCTCAATTGTGGCGTGATTTCATCGTCAAGATTTGCACTGTTGAGCGCTTTACACAATTTGGCAACGTGCATTCTCACTATATAATGGCAGTTCCACGTAGAACGTGCAACAAAACGCTTTGATTCTGAAAAAAAAGCAAAAAATACATCGACAACTGGAACAAAATACGTCGTGAAAACAGTCTGGGCGAACAAAAATAACATGGAAAGGAGGTAATGTAAACAGGCTCGGAGTACAGATGAAGGTGACCATAGCGATACATTTCTGCTTGTATGGTTTCCAACCCGAAGCCGCTTAGCGCCCCAATACGAACCTGATCGCTCAACACCCCACCCCTCAGGGCCCCTCACGACGCAATGATTTTTGTCCGTACAATCGGAAAAAGGGGCGAGCGGCGTCACCATCAGCCACGCCCTTTTCGGCCACGTGTTCTCATCACGGCCGAGGCGCTAACGGACCATTAATGTTCACCGATCATCTTTGACCACAAGGCGCTAAGTCGAAACAACGAGGATTAAAGGCCAGGATCGATAGTTCTGGCGCATTTCTGCTGAGAACCTGATGTTCCATTTGATGCATGCGCAGTTTTAGTCTTGTGAAGGCGATAGGGGTCCGTGAGCCGAAAGATTGCTCCACAGGTAATGACGGGCGGCTGGGTGTTTTGAAGGACCTAAGGATGCATTACATGACGCAATCCAAATGTTTTTCCTTCGACCACAAAGCCTTTCTGGAAAGGTCTGGAATTATTCCCGGTTGCCTTGTGATCCATCCTGGTCCAGACACTGTGAGTTCTGCAGCGTTTTGCGCAAGTCCCGCTTTTATTAGAAGAGAAGATAAAAGGCTCATCAAATGTAATGACGGCGAAAGATCATGCACACTCTGAGCTTCATTGAGCGTCTAAAACTCCAACCTGCTCGTCAAATAACTGGGTCAACCTTTTACGAATGGAGGTCTTCCAGGTTACCGTGAAAGACCTCCCTTGTAGGTCTTTGACCCCGTCATTACCTTGGAGCAATTTTCCAAAACGGTTTTCTGCATCGATTCGAACCTGATGACAGAGACTACATAAAACCGAGATCCCCGTGAAGGCCGAAAATGTACTTAAATGTTCCAAAGCTTAGCTATTCGTTATGCCAAATTTTGCACTTCAGGGGCCGTAAGGTATGGTTCCCCGAATAGTTGGGGGACGAAAATCCCTTCAAATTCATTTATTTTGAAGGCAGTACTTGGTGTTCTTCATGTTTTAGTGCGTGTTACTTGTAAATCACATCACATATAATTGAAGTGTAGGCTCTTTTATCCGGACAATCCCCAGTTGGGGAGACGGAAAAAATGCAAAAGGCGATTTTCGTCTGTCACCCTTTCGGCGGAAGCATACCTTTACAGGCCCAGGATGGTGCTCCCAGATTTGCTTCAAATAGCGCTATTGCCAACTGTACGCGTCACATTAATCATCAGGACCATCAGTAACCGTTACAGTAAGGTCTTCCTAGCAATTTTTTCGATCCTTTTCTGGGCCTCAATGGCCGCTCAGCGGTAATGAACCCCAGTTTTTGAACCTACATGGAAACCCCTACAGCTTGCGAAAAATCGTTTTGGGAAGGTGCTCTACACCTTGAAATACATCTCTTGTTAGTAAGCTACCCTGGTCCAAGAACCCCGTCAAAATCAAGCACCTCTCCTGACCCAAGTGTTGTCACTGATTTCAACGCTAACCTAAAACAGGTTGGACCAACCAACCGCCGATCATTCACAATTGCGGGTGCCAATTCGTCA